TGTATTTATGAACACGCGGTTGATCTGGCACCTGTCCGATCACTCGTACCGTGAGCAGTCATTCGACGGGCCTGGAGTACCGTATCTTCTCTCTTCAGGCCGAGAGAGGTGGGAAAGTGGGTTTCCAGTACTCGAGTGGGCATGGACAGCTCGCCGAATGCCGGCGGATCCGGCTCCTGATTCGGACAGCCGAGGTGAGATGCATTTATGAATGTTCAGGTCGACCCGACACTTGCCCAATCATTCGTACTATGAGCGGCCACTTGACGGTCTTGGAGTACTGTGCCCCCTTCCTTGATTTGTGGGGTTTGACCACTGATGTAACTGTTCCCATACTCCAAGTGGGCAGTTGACAGTGAGCTGGCGAGTCTGCAGCTTGGGTCTGCAGGCGAGCTTAGGACTGCAGGCAGACTTGGGTCTGTAGGTGAGCTGAGTCTGCATGCGAGTTTAGGACTGCAGGCAGACTTGGGTCTGTAGGTGAGCTTGCAGGCGAACTGGGTCTGCAGGCGAGCTCAGGTGCGCAGGCAGACTTGGGTCTGCAGGCGTCGGAATTGGACGAATTATATATGAAAATCGCCTATCTCGACGAGATGGGGCCATCCGAACCGAGCCAAAGGCTTCGGTTCGATTCCTCTGTTTCGCCAAATTCCTTACGGTTTGGGAGATATCTACGTTTCCCCCTTTTTCTGCTATTTCGGGCGAGGTTTTAGCAGTTTTGTTCTGAACTTCTCTGATAAGGATTAAAGGTAATTTTTATTGCCTACACCCATCAAACACCGATGATGGAAGTTACAATTTGACGGCTTCCAGAAGGCTATAATTTAAAGACTTTCATGTAGATCGATGAAGGTTACAATCTGACGATCTTCACGATAACTGATGAAAGCTCTAATCAACCGCCTTCACAATCAACATCGGGAGTTACAATCTGACGACTCTCACATATCAAAGAGCTAAAGCAAAGATTACAAAATGATGATCTTTGCAACGCTTTGACAGAAAGAGACTACAAATCGACGGTCTCTTCAAATCAAGACGCGGAAGTCCTCACCGCGTACCAGCATCAAGATGCACTGCGTTCACAGCCGCTGACGCAATACTAATGCAACTCACATTCAGCTCCAAACGCTGTAAACACAGCTCAGATCCAGCTGCCAACCCAGCTCATGTTCGGCCGCAAACACAGCCTCCGAAAGCTGCCAAACGCAGCTTCCATCCGCTGCCAAACGCACCTTCCAAGCTGCCAAACGCAGCTTCCAAGCTGCCAATGCAGCTTCCAACAAGATACTAACGCAGCTTCCAAATGCTACAAACGCAGCTTCCAGACGCTGCAAACGAGCTTCCAGACGCTGCGTTTGAACGCAGAATTCACGACAGAATGCGGATTTTACGTTTGACTCGTTCAAACACGAGCTGAACTGTTTCAAAACCGTTTTCCATGATCTGAGAGGATCACAACTCCACTCAGGAGTGATTTAAGGGACGGTTATATCCTATTAGCCCCACTTAGGAGCGAATTAAGGGGGCGGTTATATCCCTTAATCCCTTATAAATAACTAAAAAATCAGTTTAGTTGGGGGGCTCTTCGACTTGGGCAGAACAAGAGAGATCTTTGGATGATTGAGTATTTACAGATCTAGAGATCAGCAAAGGGCATTCTTCGGCAACAGGAGCTATCTTCGTGCTTGGCTTGTCTAACCAATTACGGTTAAGATCAATCAACTCTTTTATAAGAGTTTAAACTCGCTCTGAGTTATCAATTCATTCAGAGTTTTAAACTTACCACGCAAGTCGTCCACAACGTCAAATCGTGAGGAGGAGATACCGTTCCAGTGAATCAAGACGCGCGGATCGTCAACGAAGAGCAAACTCGACGCGAGCATTTGAGGGAGGTACTCCATCGCCACCGTGAAGAACCCAGAATTAAACAAAGGGGAGAATCCAGATCATTCTCCTCTCTTTTGTAATCGGAAATCCAAATTGTAATTAAGATCGAGAGAATACAAATCAAATTTCTTTCATTCTTTTTACTACAAATTTTCCACCAAACATATGTCACTTTAAGTTTATATAATTTGGTCCCTAAAACTTCTAACATTATTGTAGAACTATACATTATATCAATTATTAGTAATGTATAATAATATATTAATAGATAATTACATGTCAATAAACTATTTATAGAAAGAGTAGAAAACATAGAGCTGCCCTAAAATTATACCATAAAACTTATATAGGAAAATTACAAAGAATACTTTTATGTTTAGGTAACTGTACAGAATGTACCAACATTAAATTTTAGAAAAAATTAATATATTTAAGTGCAGCAGGATACATTATCTAAATTAAAAAAAGTGCAGTAATATACAAGTGGAGGTATATAAGTATAATTTTGGTAAACTACAATGTATTTAAGTTCAATTAAGCCTATAAAAGATTTAAAACATTTGTTATCCACAAACAATAGTATATGATCCCATTGATAAATAATATTCATCATATAATATGAAGCCAAATACTTAGCTTATATTTTTATAGTAGAGGAGAAGTGGAAAAATTAAAGCATCATATTTTAAATAAGTCCCAATATTTTGAATTATTTCCTGAAATTATATAATTCGCTTAGCAAATTTTAGAGAGAGTTTTGAAGGACTACTATAAAATGTTGGACATCAAATAAATATTAAACAAATAAAATCCATGATATCGCATTGTAAAAATCAGGAATATGTATGTAATAATGAGTGTCATATGAGATAATTTTCATACATAACATGACATTGTAATATATAATCTAACATAATAATAAATTTTAAACATAAGAATTTGCATCAAGACATATGCTTAAGATTTGGGAGAGCCGAGAGTGGAGAGATTTTGGAGAAGAACTGTGTCCTTTGTGGGTTTTATGGGTTTCGACTTTGCTTCCCAAACACAATCCGAACCTGAGCCCACAATCAAATTAAAAATGACATGATTTTCTTGATATATTCAAAGGGATATATTGGCAATATTTTTAATGACGGTGGATATATCAAAAAAAAAAACACCAAGCAAAATAAAACAATATAAAAATATTACCAAGATAAAGTCTTTAACCCGATATATTGATCGATATAGCAATATATTGGCCGATATTTAATAGAATGCCTATAAGAGCAAATATGTAAATGTTATTTAGATATTAGTTCCTTGATTTTAAGTATCCAATAATTCCATATTATTCCCTCAAATTTTTGAAATTGCTCATAATTTTTGGGACTAATATTAAATTATAAAAATTTTGAGGGACAAATTATAAATAAATCGTATTTAAAAGAAGAGTTAATTTTTTAAAACCCTCCCAACTATGAGGATTGTCTTAAAAAAACTCACTCAATTGATACAGTTTGACAAAACCCCCTTATTATGGGGGGTGTTATAGATAAACCCTATTAATTTTGGTGCAGTTTTTAGACAACATCTCTCAACTATAGCGTGTCTCATAAAAACACCACTAATCTTTAACACTTCTATCAACAAACCTCCTTAACATAGTTACTTCAGTATGTGATTTGAATAAAATATCCTCTTGAAGAAAGTAATTTTAATTAAAAAGAAATTCTTAACCAAAAATAAAATGACCACAACCAATTTATAATTTTTTTTCCCTCTATATCACCTCTTTTTCTTCATATGACTAAAATCAAGGTAATTCTTTTATGATTGATTGATATTTTGGTCGTTTCAAGTAAATACTTGTCACATAATAGATAAGACTCAATGATATTAGTTTTGAGAGGTTAGGTTTAAGGGGGGGGGGGGGGGGGGGGATTGACATGCCCCCATAGTTGAGGGAGAGTTTTCTAAAATTAACCTTTAAACTAAAGTACAAATTAAGATACGTGTGACATTAATTTTATAATAGTAGAGTTTATAGTAAGTTTATCACTCAATGAACTGGTTTAGGTTATTTGTCCTTAAGTTTGTCCTACACATCAACTCTGAAATTCTTTTGTTATAAGAAGCTCTAAAAGTAAATTAATATTTATTTGGGATGTGTATATGATCCTTTTGATTCCCCTTGTCTTTCATGATTTGTAATAATTTATTTGACAAAATAAATTAAGTTGTCATTTTATATTGCTCACCTTCTTATAAGTTTATGGAGATCATAACTTGGATATGAATATTATTGCAGATATTGTATTATTCTAAGTCTTTAAGCTAAACTTTTGGATGTTGTTTGACATTGGATAAATATGAATTATTTTGTTAAAATACAATCAAGATGAGTGCATAATATGTATAAATCATTTTTAAACTATATTTTATGATTTTCTAAAACTAGAGAGTAATCGTTTTGACAGAGCAATTAGTAGTTGGGAAGATGTAAAAAGAGTACAACATCTGATTTTGAAATTAATCACATAATTTATATTTTCTTTCTTGATTGAATTTGCACATTCTAACTTAGAAAATTCTAGAAAAAAAGTTCTTGAATATCTATAATACTCGATTGCCAGATAAACAATAGGTGGAAGTAAATAACATGTGGAAGTGATTTGTTTTATAACTGAACGAAATCCTTAACTAGATAAAACCTACCATTTTTCTGTGATGAATTCAAGAATTTACTTTTTTCATTAATAAAGATAGACTTTTCCATATTGGTCCCTTACATCATTAATATTTTGAAATTATACATTCAAAATATTAATTAATCTTAAATCATTAATATTTTAAGGGTTTAAACATCACTATTTCTCTAGAAGACAAATTGTTAAAATCACACATGGAAATATCCAAAAAATATTATATATCATGCTAATTATAAAGTTTTATGCAACAATGTTATAGTAAATAAATAAACTTAAAATAAATAATTATGATATTTGACCATGTGCAAGTGCATTTCACCTAGTTATTATTATTATTTTAAGTTTAGTGGTTATATCATATATTTTTCTTCAAATATTCTTGAAATACAGAATAAACCTGCCTTTTCCTGCAAATCTCCACCTTCAAGAGAATCATCGACTCAGCCAGCAAATCAATCAAAAAACCCCAATACTCATTGGGGGGGAAAAGCATGGCAAACCCTAGAAGACAAGGTCTACAATCTCAACCCCAAAGCCCAAACCCCCCTCTCCTCCCTCTCTCCTCCTCCTCCTCCTCCTCTGATCAACCCCAAACCTCATCAATCCTCACTTCAGTCTCTCTCTTCCTCAAGAGACCCCAAGCCTTCCCTTTTCTCCTCTCAATCTTCGTTCTCCTCACTTGGCTCTCTCTTAGACTTCAGCGGCCTCCTCAGACTCCGTCGTATTCTTCATCTTCTCAGTTTCGGGATTCGAGATTGAGTAGGAGTTTGGATTTGGATGCTAATTTGGTGAGGTTTAATGCTGTGGAGATCCCTTCTGGGATTGCGAAGGATAAGAGAGGTTGGCTGGTTGATCCTGTTAGCTTGGCGCTGGAGAATGGGATTCACGGTGAGTTTTTTGAGAACTGGTTTTTTTGTTGTTTTGATGAATTGAAGTGATTTGGATACGACCCATGTGATAGAATTTGTTAATTCGGTAAAATTTTTAGAGAACCCAAAAGTTTAATAGAAGTTCAGGGTCATCTGCTATAATTTTGTATATTAGAGTCTTAGACTAAGTACAGTTGCTTTTTTTTTTCAAGTCAGACAAACTATATTATATTTTTGAGAACTGGGTTTTTGTTGTTGTGATGAATTGAAGTGATTTATATATGACCCATGTGATCAGAATTTGTTAATTTGGTGAAAGTTTTAGAGAACCTTTAATAGAAGCTCATTTCACAATCATTTTGTATGTTTTGTATATTGCAGTAAGTACATTATAGTTTCATAAGAACTAGATAATGTGATTCATGGGTCATTGGATGTAAGTTATTTGAAGAATTGGATTATTGTCAATTTCAGCAAAAATTGAGTAGCAATTTTGACGTGGCTGCTAATTTGGCGAGGTTTAGCGTTGTAGAGACCCCTTCTGGGATTGCAAAGGTAGGAGAGGGTTTCTGGTTGACCCTGTCAGCTTGGCGCTAGATCATGGGATTCATAGTGGGTTATTGAGGATTTGGGTGTTTTTAGGTTTTTTAGTTACGTTGATGAATTGAATTGATTAAGGTGATATACCTAATTTAGTAAAATTTGTAGAGAACTCAGATCTTAATCATGTTATGGTTAGTGGTGTTTGATGGAATGCTTGTTTTCAAATATCATTTGTATATTAGTACAGCTACATTATGATCATCTCTTGATGGTTTTGAGTCTTTTTGACAAGGTTTTCTTCGTAATAATGCTAGAGAAATGGATTCATAGCGAGTCTTCCATAGGAACTGAGTTTTTGTTAATTTGTGGAATTGAAATGATTTAGTCATGACCCATGTTTTATACAACACCAGAAGAAAGAATGGGGAAGGCATGAATTAGCACAAGAATAAAAAAAGCATAAAATGATCTCTCTTTTATAAATGAGGATTTCTTTCTTTACTAATTTCATTTTCATTTCTTAAAATTCTTACCAAGAATGCTTATTGCCTTCAGTAAAACACTAATCCTCACCCATGGGATTCAACACTGATTCGCATTTTTTCTTTGCATCAATGGAGATGGACAACATGAATTGTATGCTATGCAAGTGGAATGAACACAATACTATTAACTGGACAATGAACTGGAAATATGAATATTAGTTGTTAGGAATTTCACCCTTCTATTTTTATTAGGTTCTTTGCCCCTTTATTTTAAGATATTTTATTGAGATCCAATAGCCTATGACCAGAAATGAATAAAGTATATTTTTACTGTATTTCACGAATACCGCATACCGCATAACAAGCCAATGCCTAGTTCTCCAGCATCTTCTATTATATGAAATGGCTAATATCCAATTAGGAATTGATAATACACTTTTCTATAACCTACTGTATGATTATTATAATTTTATGTCCCGACATGATTGAATCAATCTATTGCTAAATAACTTGTAACAGGGGGAGCAAGATTTTGTGCTTCAGTTCATGTAGGCGAGATTCGACCAGGAAAAATGAGGGGAAATCACCGGCATCATACTTGCAACGAGACATTTGTCATTTGGGGTGCTGAGACAAAGTTCAGAGTATTTTACTGTGACAATATCTTTCTGCTTAAATAACACTTAAATACCTTATAGTTTTTATGACTTTGTACTTATATACGCTATCTTTTCTTTTTCTTCTCATTTAAATACCCTTTTTTTTAAAGCTGTATGCTCCAGTGACTTTCTACTTACGACAATTAAATGTTGGAATATTCCCATAAATTATTAGAATATTCTCCTAAAAATTTCCATGTGACTTGCACATAATAAAATTTGGTTAATTATATCCGTAAACTTAGTTAAATCAACGAAAAGCGGGAGTAAAGCGTAACTTTTAAGGAAAACTGAGTAAATAAGGTTGAAGATGGGTTATTAGTTGAAACTACCAACTTTAGGGGTATAATTGATCAATTTTTATCATGTGCAGATCACATGGAAACTTTATGGGGAATATTTCAATGTTCAACAGTAATATTCCAATGTTTAGCTAACAGAAGGTAGTCATGTGCTAGTTCAAAAAACAATAGGGTACTTAAATGTCAAAGGAAAGAAGGCATGGTAGGTAAGTACGAGTCATGCAAACTATAGGTACTTAAGTGATATTTAACCTATTGTTCTTTTGAAATTTGTAAGTGGCAATCTAACTTTCATCTTTTAATGAAAAATTTCATGTATACACAGCTCGAGAATCCTAGTATGGAAGGCAAGGGTTATGCTGAAGTGATCGTTGGTGCAGATGAGGTTGCTGTTGCTGTGAGTCCTGCTGGAACTGCACATGCTTTGATTAATGTGGATCATATCAAGACTACTTTCTTGTTGGGATGTCAGGACTCTGTGATCAATATCAGCTCAACTACTGAATACAAAATCTGGAAAGATTTATGAAACGTCTTGGATATTTGGGATTAGAAAGGTAGGTGCTATAATGAGATCGACTTTGTATAGAGTGGTAATTTTCGAGTTTTCTTGACGAGATTGACATTGGCTTTTAGAGAAGAATGTAGATATAATTTTCGATTCGTTTTTGGGTCAGTTAGGCCCTGATCTGTATTACAAAGTTGACTCTTGGAGAATGGGAACGTTGTCTGCAGTTTTTTGTGCATTCGAAATTTGTTGTACAGATGACTACGAAAGATGAAGAATATGTTTTTGTTGGAAAGAAGTGTTTGGCTTGAAATAATGGACATGAATGTGTTGTCGACTCTAAAATTTGCAAATCATAGAACCCCAAAGCTTAATATTTCTCCAGCTTTCGAAAGGAGTACAAAGTAAGTATGGTACAAGTCAGAGAATATTTCCTAGCTTATTTCTTCTCCTTTATAGTTATTCCGCATTAATTTCAGTCCATCTTCTTTTTTCTCTGATAATTAGATTGAGGGTGATTCCGAAGTTCAGATGGCTTACACATGCAGCTGCCGTTACCAACATTTACGGTCTCAGAGTTCGAACACCTGTGAGTTTCATCATCTCTCTTTGTTCATGTTTATTTCGTTTGTCTATAACTGCAGACGAAGGGTTTAGGCTTGTTGGAAATTTTGGTGTCTGCTGTTGATTATAAACTTCGTTAGTGCCAGATGATTTGAATCTAGTTATCTTACTATCACAAGGTAATGACGAAAAAACCAACTGTAGTGGTTCTGTGTGCTTAAGTAACATGTGCACACAAACTAACTTGGGTTGATTTTCTAGCCATATGATACATGATCATATTTGGACATACGAGCTAATATCCGAGTTTGTTTACAAAACGCTGCGAACTTGTAAATCATTCATCAAAACTCAAAATAACGGGTCTACCTTCCAATTCATTGAGTAACCTAATATGATAAACAAGCTAGGAAAGATTATAGGACATTGAAAAAATCAAAAAAAGCTAGAAAAGATAAAAGGAAATCGAGAAGATATAGAAGGAGTGGCTACTTACTAACATCCAAACATGGTAGGCCTCTGAGTATTTGTACTCCTAAGGGCAAATGTACCTGAACCCTTCAGATCAAGTTCTCTATGTTGATCTTTTCCGTATACATTATTCTGAGTGAAAAATATGAAAATAAAAGACAAGAAAATTCAAAGCATTACTGCATCTAAACTAAGCCTGTTCTCAACGATTTGAAATTATTTAGGTTGATTTTAGGAGATTTCACTTATAGATAATCATTAGTTCAACAATGCTATTTCATATACCTGCAAACTGAGAAGGGGGGGTGATGTTTTAAGAAAATTATATAATGATTGATATCTTGTTTATAAAGGACATTGAACACACTATTGCAAAGCTTTTTAGAAAACTTAAACAACATTCATTTCCTTTGCTAGTGTTTTGATATACATTATCATTGTACTATTTGCAGGGAATTCATTCGGTGAATCTGAAACCTCAAATCTATTGAAATTTGTGCAGTCATCGAAAACTGATAGGGAAGTAAATGAGAGAACCAATGAACCATTGACATTCTTTTTGCAAATGCATTTCATGAAGAGAAAATCTTGGGAGAATAATAGATCCCCATACACTGGAGATATTCCTAGCTTAAGTCATGTCCCACGTATTGTGTACATTTATAAGACCAGTGTGAATAAATCAGTTTAAATTAATGTATGCTTGGAATAATATTAACAAACATGCTTGATTGAAAAATGCATATATTTGTATTTAAGAGAAGCATATGAATAAGTTCAGAAAGATTTCCGAGCAAGCTAAATTAGCTAATTAGTAAATTGAATCTAAATTTGGCACTGCTTGTTCATGGCCCTATCTGATTAGCATCTGGAGAATAGAGAACATGATGAACATAATGTTGACCAAGAGAAAAGAGAAGATGCAAGCTTTGTATCTTTTAGGGTTATTTGCATTGCACCCCCAAAGTTTATAATCTTTTTTAACTTCGACAGCTGAGGTTCTATTTCGACAATTTGAAAACCCCAAACAGGGAAAAAAAAAATCTTTAATTAATGTTGCTCAAGAATATCAACAAAGAAGAGTGAATATGAAACCAATTTTCTTAACCTTTTTTTTTTTTGGTGTTTGGGGAAAGTGAGGAGCAAAGATGGGGTTTGTATCAATTTGAAATTCCGGGGTATCAAATTATTAAAAAGAAACTTCAGGATAACAAAGTGCGGAAAGGGTGAAGCTTTCGGGGTATTAAAGTGCAAATGGCTATCTTTTAAGCAAACATAGGTGCTTGCAAATATGGTAAATAAAATACAAAGGAGCACTGCTGTGCAATATCCTATTCATGCACCCATTTGAGTAATGTATGCATATCAATTTGTTGCATCCCCTTCTTTTATAGACTTATGCTTTAACTAACGACTAATAGTATAAGAAAAAGGAAGATACAAATAGGGATATGCTTCTCAAACTCTTCCTCCACAATTTCTCAAAAGAGACCATCACTTTCCAACCAATAATAAGTATTACATAGCGTAGATGAAGGAGAAAGAGATCTCTAAGGAAGTGTAGACATACGTGAAGAAGGAGAATGCGACATTGCCCAAATTCTCACTCAACCTGCAAAATTAAAATTATGGCTGAAACTGTGCACTAAACGTGAAAGCAAAGGAGAAGAGCTACAATATAGGTCCAAGTTAGCCCAATAATTGTTAACTTGTCCAATTGAGCCACGGGCTTTTAGTTCTTAGTTGGTCCTTGGTTCCAACGGAATCACTAAGACCCTAATGAATGCCCCCTTCATCATTTATTAATGTGGAGATGAAGAGTATGCAGTAAATTGCACTTAGAGGTTGTTTACTATGTTGTAAATTACAACTGAAATGTAGTTGTAAATTTTTAATTTCAAAAATAGGTTATAGGTGTAGAAACGGCGAAAACGGCGAAAAAGTACAGGAAAAACGAAGATGGAGACATTTTGAGTGCTGGCTGGTCGACCGTGGGCTTAGGTCCGGTCAACCGGAAACGTGCACGGAACAGGGTCTTATAATCATGTTCTAGCCGGTCGACCGACCATGTATGTGCGGTCGACCAAAGATGTGATCCGGTCGACCATCCATGTCTGTGCGGTCAACCGAAGATGTGCTGGATTACATGGTAGAATTTCGATCTTTTGGTCGGTCGACCGAAACATCATGTCCGATCGTCCGGATTGCGGTTATGGGCCTGATTGGTTTTTTCCAGTTGGTTTTGAATTCCTATTTGATATAAATAGGAACATGACATTTCTAGGGTTCGTGTGAGACGTTTTTAGCAGACTTTGAGAGAGAAATTGTGAGGGATTTGAGAGCTTGTTTGAGAGTTTTATTTGTGAGATTTTGTGTGATAGTAAACCTGTTTGTACTCTCTTTCTCCATATTAGTGAAATCTCTCCCCTCCTTGCCCCGTGGACGTAGGCACATTGCCGAACCACGTAAAATCTAGTCATGCATTGTTTGGTTCTTGTTTTACCTATTGGTTGTGATTCTATCTCGTTTGTGTTCGTGCTTTTTTGGTTCTGCTGCGCACAACAAGTGGTATCAGAGCTTCGGGTTTTGGCTTGGGGTTCGTTTGTAGGATTCTCTGCAGAATTCTTGTTTGAAGAGATCAGGTTATCAACATGGGTGAAGCAAGTATATCGGGATCGTCTCTTTCGAAGGCGATACAGGCTTTGAGCATCAATAACACTAAAATTGATGTTCAAAAGTTTGATGGCAAGATAAACTTCGGTTTGTGGAGGTGTCAGGTGATGGATGCGTTGGATGCTCAGAATTTGGAGGAGACTTTTGAATTACAAGAGAAACCCGCTGATATGGAGGAGAAGGTTTGGAAGAAGGTTAACAGCAAAGCATGTGAGGTTATTAGGTCATGCTTGACGCCGGATTTGATCTATGATGTAATGAACAAGACGTTGGTGAAACGATTGTGGGAAACACTCAATGACAAGCACTTGACGAAGAGCATTGAGAATCAGCTTCATTTGAAGAAAATGTTTTATCAATTCAAGATGAAGAGGGGAGTTTCCATTAGAGAGCATGTCAATAACTTTACAAAGTTGCTGTCAGATATGGCTAATATGGATATCATGATAAAGGGTGAAGACAAGGCAATGTTGTTATTGTGTTCGTTGTCAGAGGATGATTATGGTACTTTTGTCCTTACTATGATCAATGATAGAACCACTGTCAACCACAAGAAGGTGACATCAATATTGGTGAATTATGAGTTGAGGAAGAGTGATAGTGAACCCTCCGAGAAGGCATCGAGAGATGCATTGGCAGTGAGAGGCCGTAGTCCAAAACGTCGTCCATTCAATCGCTCAAAGTCGAAGTAGAGAGGTGGCCATAAAAGTGTTGGTAGGAATCAATGTGCTTTCTTTTGCAAATAAGATGGACATTGGAAAAAGGAATGCCCAAAGTTAAAAGATCGAGCAGGGAAGAATAAGGGGAAAGTCGTACAAACTTCATAGGTGAATGTTGCCAAAGCTAGTGGCGACAATTCAAATTTAGATTCTTCGGGCTACTCATGTCCAGCACAATCGTCAGTTTGCTATGTCGACTCTACGAAGTGGATGTTGGATTCGGGTGCAACATATCATATTTACCCTAGGAGGGATTGGTTCTCCAGCTTTGAGAAGTTGGAAAGAGGGGATGTCGTGGTTATGGGTAATAATCATGTATGCCATATTGATGGTATTGGAACAGTTCGAATCAAGATGTGTGACGGGGTCACTAGGGAGCTGAAGGAAGTGAGATTCGTTCCGCAGTTAACAAAGAATATCATTTTACTTAGAACTTTGGAGGCAGCAGGCTATAGGGTGATCTTGGAGAATACAACTCTGAAGGTCACAAAGGTGTCTATGGTGGTGATGAGAGGTGTCAGGGAAAACAACATTTACTACTTGAAGGGAATGACAGTAACAGGAGGTTTGGTAGCTTTAATTATCACAGAGGAGGATATTACCAGCTTATGGCATATGAGATTGGGACACACTGATGATAAGTCCCTGCAGATATTGGCGAAACAGGGGCTGTTGAAAGGTGCAAAGACCTGCAAGATAGAGTTGTGTGAGCATTGTGTACTTAGGAAAAATACAAAAGTGAAATTTGACACCACAATTCACAACACCCAAGGTATATTGGATTACATTCACATAGATATTTGGGGTCATTCCAAACACACATCGCTTGGTGGGGCTAATTATTTTATCACTTTTATTGATGATTATTCCAGAAAGGATTAGGTATACCCTATAAAGCATAAACATGAGGTCCTGGATATATTTGTGGAGTGGAAGAAGAAATTGAAGTTGCAGACAGGCAGAAATGATGGTGAGTACAAGAGTGATCCATTTCTATAGTTTAGCGGGATCACGGTATTAGGTGATACTTCACAGTTAGGGAGACATCGGAACAAAACGGGGTGACCGAGAGATTGAACCGTACATTGCTGGAGAAGGTGCGTTGTATGCTCTCACAGAGTGGATTGGCTAGATCCTTTTGGGCCGAGGCGTTGGTTTATGCAAGTCATCTCGTGAATAGGTTGTCGTGCACTGTGATACATGGAAAGACTCCTATGGAGCTATGGTCCGGATCGGTGGCTAGTGATTATGAGTTACTTCAGATTTTCAGGTGTCCAGCTTACTATCATGTGAATGATGAAAAATTAAATCCGAGGGCTAGAAAAGCAATCTTTGTGGGTTTTAGAGATGGAGTTAAAGGCTTCAAGTTGTGGGATCCACAAGACAAGAAGATAATTATTAGCAGAGATGTCACTTTGATGAGGCATATATGATAAGGCCTCAAGTCCCTCAGCAGATGGAGGAAGGCCAAACTAGCAGGATATCGCATGAGGTGAAGGCTGATGTGACTCCACAGACTTTAGATAGCATTGTATCCATTGAGGCTCCTACATAGGTGACACTGAGAGGAAACATGATGACAGATAGACAGATGGAGGATACAATGGATATTGGGGCTTAAGGACATGATCATATTCAGGAGTCCATTGCAGCTAATAGACCAAGAAGGGTTATTCGTCGGCCAGCTAGATATGATGAAGTGATGGTTGCATATGCTTTATCAGTTGAGGTCGTTGATGATTTGGTTCCTTCTACATATAAGGAAGCAGAGTCAACCTATGATTCAATCAGGTGGAGGGAAGCTATGGAGGAGGAGATGCACTCTCTTCAGAAGAACGACACTTGGAGACTTGCAAAGCTACCGAAGGATAAGAAAGCTATTGGATGCAAGTGGGTATATGCAAAGAAATAAGGATCTTCTAATGGGAATATTCGGTACAAGCCAGATTGGTTACCAAAGGATATGCCCAGCTTGGAGGGCATAGATTATAACGAGGTATTCTCACCGGTCGTGAAGCATTCGTCGATAAGGATACTATTAGCATTGGTGGCACAACTGGATTTAGATTTGGTTCAGATGGATGTGAAGACAACCTTTCTACATGGAGACTTAGAAGAGAAAATCTATATGACACAACCTATGGGGTTTAGAGCTGCAGGCAATGAAGATTTGGTGTGCAAACTGAAGAAGTCTCTTTATGGATTGAAGCAATCGCCGCGATAATTGTACAAGAGATTCGACAGTTTTATGATTGGCCAAGGGTATAAGAGGAGCCCATATGACCCGTGTGTTTACATGCACAAGCTACAGAATGGCGAGTATATTTATTTATTATTATATGTTGACGGTATGCTCATTACTTCCAGGAATACTTCAACTATTAGAAAGTTGAAAAAGGAGA